TATATATATATATATGCATACTAAAAGTTGCTTTTCTTTTCTTGGTCTCGCGGGTGAACAGTCATCATTTAGAGCATAATAATGATCTCCTTGTCGCTGGTAATTATGCACAATAGTCCGAGCAGCGTGACGCCAAAACTTCAAGTCGCCTCAAGTGCCATTGTGCGCACTTTTCACCTTAACACGCGTGAAATGCCATTGTGTGCGCGCCTTGAGCTCCATCCTGCACAACAGTTTGCCCCGTGCGACGGCCTCGACAGCCCCTAATAATCTAACTAACCCCCCTCCCATCATCACCGACACCCCACACCCCCCTCTCCCCCCTCATCTTCCACCCCATGTGACCACCAGATTGGAGGCGCGCGTCGGTCTCAGACACCGGCAGGTTAGTGAATCCGCTCCCCGCTCCCATGGGGTCCCATCACGGCTGCAAGCTGTCACATATGAGGCGGGGACAACACAGATATAAGGCAACACACCCACCCTGACTTAGCTGTTTCTTTCTCCTCTGCTTGTGCATGAAAGGAGCAGTGGTTTGGTGCTTTCTCGATTTTTTTTTTAACTTCCCCTCTTTATTCTTACCGTGCCATGCATCCACAGGCTCCAGCGATGTTGTTGTGAATTAATCATAAGGTGATTAAACCGACTTCTTCCTGCTTGGGATCATCATGTGGCCTTTAAAACTTAAAGAAGCTTTAATTATTCCTGTTTGTTTCTTTAAAAAACCCCAAAGTCCTCTTATGTTTAATTTAATTTGAGTTGCTCATTATTGTGTTTTTATTTTTTGACCCATAATGTCGGGAAAAACACAATAATTACATTGAAAATTAATATTTATAAATGGAACCAAAGCTCCTTTTTAAAAGAAACAATAAATTTGTAGGTAACCAATGAATCAACAATTTAATTAATTAGTTAAAATAATAATGATAATAATAAAAACTGGGGGTAAAAAAATCAGTCCATATGTGTAAAAAATAATATGTATGTATATGTATGTATATATGTATGTATGAGTACATATATATATATATA